GCAGAGACAGGTTATATCATCAAGATAACTGAATCAGTGATAATGATCACAAACAAATTCAGTCATTAACAATGGTGTAATTACAACACATTAATGCTGATAATCAGCTACAACACTATAGGCCTCTTGCATCTAATCAAGCATAAGCAATCTTATCCTCTGTAAATCTGTTTCTAAAAATCAAATATCTAGTGCTTATGTTATAAAATTGTTATATCATCAAGATAACTGAATCAGTGATAATGATCACAAACAAATTCAGTCATTAACAATGGTGTAATTACAACACATTAATGCTGATAATCAGCTACAACACTATAGGCCTCTTGCATCTAATCAAGCATAAGCAATCTTATCCTCTGTAAATCTGTTTCTAAAAATCAAATATCTAGTGCTTATGTTATAAAATTGTAAGTCAAAGTTCAGTAGAGGTGACAGGGGAGAAGGGGCAGAGCATTTAAATCTCTATGGCTGATAAGCTAAAATTTGGCTTGAAAATCACTAGGCCCATTTCTGGGCATGCTCTGAAATTTCTCATTCTGGGCTTCACTGCTTCAGGTGACTAAAATTCACAAGTTAACTATTTTCTCTGCTAATTTTATCAGTAGAGCAGGTACTCTACACAAGGAAAATTCTCAGAGATTAACAGAGGAGGTTCCACCAATGCAATAATTGTACATTCAAATACATGATAAAAAAGAAAAGTGAAGGCTGTTCACACGAGAAGGTGGAAGTTCATTCTACTCTCCTTCAATAACTGCATGAGGTATGATGCCTTGGGTGTCAAATGGCTTTAAATTCCCTTTTCTGCTCGAGTGCTGTAAAGACTAATCAGAAGTACTTGCATTCACACCCCACCTAACTTTTGGAACTGCTGAATATCCAAAAGTTATTCTTGTACTAGCAATATTTCTTATATCTTCTTAGTTTCAAAGTCCAAACATTACAATCTCCTAGTATTACTTACTGTTTGTGGAAACTTGTTGTTTTCCTGATACACATGGTTATATCCTACATACACTGCAAGGGCAGCGATGCAGTAGAGAAAAACCAGCACTGCAAGTGCAACAAAGAACTGTGCAGAAGAGGAGAAGTTGCCCACGAGATAGACATCAGTCCAAGTACCACCACAGCCTTTTGGGTCTGGAGCACTAAATACAACAGTGTCCAACCTGCAAAGATTGCATCCTTCATGTAGTTAGTTTGCTATACAGTGGAAACTTCATACACTTGTGCTTCACACTAACAGTGCTTCAGCATTCTGGCTGTGTGAGTTTCCTCTAAAAGACAGCTGGACAAATCTCTAACTGATCATTTATATTTGCATCAGCTATCTGAAGATTGTTCCCCATCCTACACCGAGATATACCATAGTACCTTCAGGAGAAGAATCTAAATCATATTTTTAGAGCAGCTGAACAAAGAACCTCCAATTTGGAAGCAGACTTAACAACATCAGAGAGTGGCAGCTAACCAGGGGATCAGGATTAAAAGGCACAGTGCTGCATTACAGCTGCACAAAAATGCAAGCACAGGAGTTGAATAAAGGCTGTGTTACTAGCAGTGACCAGCACAGAATGAGTTCAGATCCCTACTCTCCCCTCCAGGTGTTGTTACAATGCTGAGTTTTGTGATCAAATTTACACTTGTGTAGTGGTTTTTAATAATCAGCCTCTGAATCCATTGCTCTACTTACTTATGTTCTCGTGCTCACTGAACACATGGAGCACTGACCCTGTGCTCACTGTAGTTGTGCAGCTGCAAGAACAAGGAGTAATCCTTTCTCCTGCTCCAGGAAAGGAGCTTGTCTCTACAACAGCTCTACAATGACACCAGAGTATTTAGTTTTCCTGTGCCCAACACCCTTACCAAGATCATGGTGGAATAAATTGAAGAGCAAGTATTTTTCTATTCAATCTTTGAAGAAAAATAGGATAATAGCACTTTGAAAACAATCTTATCTGGGCCTCCAAAGCAGCTACAAATTGATGAAAAATGAGGCTGTTAAAATTAATTGTATTGTTTTGCTTACTAATTACTTTCTGCAGCATTCATGCACTGCTAGACCAGAGCTTAATACAGAGTGACACAAAGCAGTAACAGCTTGTTGCCATTTCTACCTGCTTCTTTCTTTGGGGCAATAACAACTATAATGCTTTAAACAATTACAACCAAATATTTATTTATTGCTGCTACTGAACTAGCCATAAGTTTGATGTCTTTATTCAGATATATACAGTCAGTACATATTGTAAGGGAACAGAGAGGGGAAAAGGGAATAATAAATAGTTCATGAGACAACTGAAGAGCTAATTCTCACCTGAATGGATAAGCAAAAGCAGCTGTAACTGTTTCATTTACCACACCCTTGCAGGAAACGAGAAGGGTGGTTTCACCTTGAAAGCCTCCACATGTGGCAAAAGCAAAGATGGCAAAAATCTATAGGAATTGATACACAGACGTGTTAGTGCACACCACTAGAGCTCAAAGGACAAACTCAACATTTAGCTGAAACAGCTAAAGAAGGCAAAAAAAAAAAAAAAAAAAGATGGGGAAATGAAGGGGGGGAAAAAATCAAGATGGAAATACAGACATGAAGGGCAAAAAAAAAAAAAA